TTTTTTAACGTTCTCGATAGCGTAAAAGTTAACTCAAATTTGTATGCAGTTGGAACAGCGCCCCTAGCGGCATACGTAGGCGAACGTTCCAATTACATACAAAGTTAACTTTTAACTTATCGAGAACGTTAAAAAACTCGCACTAAGCACACGGGTTTCATGATGAAGCGCAGTTTCAGGCTAAGGAAGCGATAATGAACAAAGCCGAAGTTACGAAACTGCCAAAGTTTGTTTTAAAATTACATTTAACCTACAAAACGTGGTAAAACTGTTGTTTTTCTATTACTAATCGATCTAATAGTTAATTGTCTCGTTGTTTAATCGAATAGTAATGAACGGTCGGTTCGCTCTTTTGTCTTCTATTTTATACTATCTTTTGCCCGCGACTTCGTCCGCGTGGAATAGTTCACAAATAATGCTTTGTTTTTGAACAAATTTGGTTAGCATAAAAAACGTTATAGTGAGTCAACCTTAACATACAGACATATGCTGTCGCGAACTTTTTCAGATCTTTTAAAGGGGAACAATTCTGTCATACATTATTTTAGCGAAACTTTAAACGTTACTGCAGCGCACGCCGAGAAAAGCTTTCAAAGGGTAAAAATAAGCCCGATTTTGAAACATTATTTATTGGTGCTCCGCTTGTATTGATCTTAGCGTAATGTTATATAGCCTATAGCCTATCTCGATAAATGGGCTATCTAACACTGAAAGATTCAATTCCAATTGAAAGATTCGATTTTCAAATCGGACCAGTAGTTCCTGAGATTAGCGCGTTCAAACAAACAAACTCTTCGGCTTTATAATATTAAAGTGTAGATACATTTATGAGAACGGTCAATTCGTTCCTTGTCATCTGGTTCGTGTCCGTCTTTTAGGAAGTCAAAAAATCTACTGCCAGCCGCTAGTCACGTACGCCCTCGTTCCATTTCTCTCTTTATTTTTTGAATTCTTGTCAAGTGTCTGTCTTAGTCTGTGTCTATGTCTAGTCGTTGTAGGTCTTATGTCCTGCTAAAGAGGTTGCACGCCACGACAAGTGAGTTAATAGCAGATTATCATAATGTAGACGGACCACGGTTAAAGATACTCAGTGTTTCGATTGCTTATAGTTGTATTTATGTTTTAAAAACAAATGAAATCCTAGTTTGGATCCGCTAGATGTGTAACATTTATGTGTGTCAAAATTCAGGATTTTTTTACAAAAGTCAGATTTTTATAAATAGGTACAAAATATAATTGCGGAAAACTCAAGTACCATAAAATCAGTTGAACCTAGCTTGTGTTCATGAAGGGCTTCCACAGAGGGGAAATGACATATAGAGTCGTAAATAGGTTTCGTCATCCTGCCTATTACGAAGCAATCGTACGCAATCGCAATTGCAAACCAGTTTGAATGAGACAACCGTTATACTATTTTAATACAATTGAGACAATGACCTCATGTCCCAAAGTGAATTGTTTGAGATGATCGGAGTAGAGTTCATCCATACTACCTGGAGCAACTACGTTCATCCACAGTGCGTTTCCAGAATTTATTTTGCCACGTACCATCTTGCTTTGGAATGTGCTCCCCTCCACGGTGTTTCCCGAGCGGTATGACATGTCCTTCTTCAAACGAGGCTTCTGGAGAGTAGTTAACGGTAAGTAGCGGCCTGGCCCTGGCATTGCTGAAGTCCATGAGCGACGGTAACCACTCACCATTAAGTGAGCCGTATGCTCGTCTGCCTACAAAGGCAATAAATAATAAAAGCAAGCTTAAATTTACCATGAAATTTGTGTTGTGTGAAGTTTGGTGTTTGCAAACTTTAGCGTTAACGTCAAATAAACGTCAAATATATAAATATTTTTTACATTCCATAAGAACTAATAAAGCCTTGTAATATTCTTTTTCTTAGTCGTTTTACATTCTTGGCAGAGTGGTCGTGGTCACCAGTTCGGATCATGGTGGTTTTTTTTATTGTTGCTTAGATGGTGGACGAGCTGACAGCCCACCTGGTGTTAAGTAGTTACTGAAGCCCATAGACATCTACGACGTAAATGCGCCACCCACCTTGAGATAAGTTCTAAGGTCTCAAGTATAGTTACAACGGCTGCCCCATCCTTCAAACTGAAACGCTTTACTGCTTACGGCAGAAATAGGCAGGGTGGTGTTACCCACCCGCGCGGACTCACAAGAGGTCCTACCACCAGTAAAGCTCTTCACAAGACTTCGCCATTCCTCGCGTACCGCGGCCCTCCTTGTGCACTCGTTGACAGGACCGTATAGAGATACTTTTATTTGGTCGGTCCATCGTAACAGTGATCAGCTGCGCGATCTTATTCCCTCTATTCTGCTCTGTTTTACAAGGTGCTCAACTGTATTGTCATCCCGTCGCGACACATGTCCGAAGATAGTGAGAATGCGACCCTAAATGACGGAGAATAGACGCTACTTAATGCCGAGTTCCTGAAGAAAAGATTGATTCGTTCCAAACTCCACTCACTCTATTTGCAGCATTCTTCTCCAGCACCATATTTCGAAAGCATCTATCCTCTTTTTCTCAATTTCTCTTAATGTCCAGGTCTCAGCAGCGTAAAGAAAAACGGATCAAACGAGCGCTCTTCTTACAAATTTTTTTTTTGTGTGATTGTAAATTAATATAAATATTTATTATGTTTCAAAAGTTTTTTTTTCAAAAAACACATACGAGAATTTAAAAAAAATGCTTTCTGTGTTTTACCGGTTTTTCCCAGTTTTTCTTTTTCTTTGTAAGCGATGTTAATCCGTATTGACATTCAATGAATATGTTACTTAATTATTGACATCAGATTAATTAGACGATTTTAATTCTTAGTGTATGACCTGAAGAGCTAGAGGTACCATTGTTTCTCATTTGTTTTTTCGAAGTTCGATATATTTCACGATGCTCGATCGTGATTTCCGTTAGTAATCAGATTAAATTGATAACGTTAAAAGCCTAGTCCGATAATTCATAATCGTAGTTACAAAATCGCTAATAACCAATATGAACGAACTAGCGGCCGGACATATTTAGTCAACACACAACACAACACAACAAAGTTAAAAATAAGCGTATTATTTAGTGTTGAACCAACTATTTTATCATAGCTAAGTCTAAATTAAAATGGTGCAATTTTCGTGGCCTTCGAAGCATGCACGATTGCTTCGCGACCGAAATAGGCAGGATAGTGCTACCTAAGGCGGTGATCGCCTATACGTATCTTTGGCCCGTAAGATATCACTACATAGTATAAAACAAAGTCGCTTTCTCTGTCCCTATATCTGTCTGTCCCTGTGTATGCTTAAATCTTTAAAACTACGCAACGGATTTTGATGTGGTTTTTTTTAATAGATAGAGTGATTGAAGAGGAAGGTTTATATGTATAATAACATCCATTAAATAGTGAAGAAATCAATAATAAATTACAGTTTCCGAAGAGAAGCGAGGGCGGGTCGCTAGTTTATAATATTTGAGAATTATTTATGGAGTTATTTAAGAAGTCTTGGTTTATAAAGTCCATAACATACAAAAATTTTCATAGGGTTTTTCTATTGCCCTTGTAGGCAGACGAGCGTACGGCCCACCTGATGATGAGTGGTTACTGTCGCTCAAAGATGTCATGAATTCGAGGGGTAGAGTCAAGCCGCTACCTACCGTTAAGTACTTTTACGTACGTTTAAGTACGTTTACTGGTGGTAGGACCTCTTGTGAATCCGCGCGGGTAGGTACCACTGCCCTGCCTATTTCTGCTGTGAAGCAGTAATACTTTTCAGTTTGAAGGGTGGGGCAGCCGTTGTAACTATACTTGAGACCTTAGAACTTATATCTCAAGGTGGGTGGCGCATTTGCTTGTAGATGTCTATGGGCTCCAGTAACAACATAAATCCAGGGCTGTGAGCTCTTCCACCCATCTAAGCAATAACAAAAAAAGGACTCTCCTTTGAAGAAGAACACACCGGACGTCTTATCCTGTAGGCCAGGACGACTTCCAACCTTAGCCACCTTAAAACAAAATTGAAGCCTCATTTTCATCGATTAACTTTATGACAATTTATTACTAACCTAATCATTTTAATTACCCTATTTGGCCAAAAAATTGCAAATGTATGTAATGCTTAATGTCCATCAGTCGCCTGGAAGAGACTGCTCTAATTAATAAGACCGCACATTCTAGTTTTATGTTTATATTTTCATGAACTTTAATGAATAAATTTGGTGTCTAATAAAAAGCGATACGAGTTCTCTATCATTCACTATGCATAAACAAACAATATCTTGGAATTCTCTTACCAATCTATTCAAGAGAACAAAGAAAGTCAGTTTTTATGACAACCTTATATAAAGTATCGACATTTTAAATCTCGGACTAGTTAATTAACCATAATATTTAAAAGTAAATAGTTTCGAATATCAGATAACATTATTCATACAAAAAATCTAATACGATAGTTATTATGACCGTATCCAGATTGATTCAAAAATATTTGACCATAGATAATTATTGTCCGTTCACTCGGGTCTATACATCTAACTTATGTTAGAATAATGTCGTGCAAAAAAATCGTCGAGTAGTTGACATAATTAATTACTATTACAATTTGAACTCCAGTTGTTGGTGTTTACGAAAAAATATAAAATTCAAAATAATAAACTATAGATTTATCTCTAAAAGTATACATAAGTACGTCTTCAAGTTCGACAAGTCAAAAAATATCTTGATAAACTTCGTATTATTATAACGTGCCTGATTCCAAGAAAATTATAATTGTAAGTCTCGGGAGCTAATGGGTATTTGTGCGTGGAAAGGGTACAGTGGAAAACAAAAGGCCTTGGAACGCCCACACACCGCTTCAGTATAAACTAAAATCACAAATTTAAAATAATCAAAAGCTATAATATGAAATTATCATTATTGACATTTACGAATTTCCCCAAACGCGGTTGATGCTGAATGTTCTTCGGGTGAATGATAACACAAGACAATACTAAATCACTTACGGGATCAAGTATCCCCGCCATAGGGACACTGATGGCATCTTCTCCCCCAGCAGCCACCAGCTTCTCCAAGACCTTGAGCGTTTGCTCGACGGCCGGCCATTCTCCTTTTTGGGCCAAGGTCAAGATCTTCCCGGCCACGTCGCGAATGTTGACACCGGCACTGGGCGGCTTGACCACCTCCGCTCCATTGACTTCTTTGACTTCCTTCTTCTCTCCATTGTTCGAGGCCGTTTCGTCTTTCTCTTCTGCAGGCTTCGCAGGTGCGTTCTTGTCTTCTTCGGTGTTCTTCTTTGGCGGGCCTTTGCCGCCCTTTTTGCCGCCCGCGGCCTGCGACATCCTCACACATTAGTAGCACACGGTATCACCGCACTCGGAGTCACGGGGGAGCACATTGGTTCCGTGCGAGTGTTACTCGTAGGGCGGGCGGAGCATGACTGCGGCACGGCTGCGTGGCTCCAGCCGATTTCTTGCATGATACGGGTAAATAAAGTGGAAAGGTGCCCCGGCCGGATTTACAAACAAACTTTTTTCAGCGATGTCTCAGAATGTCCCATGCATTGACCCATTTTTTTGTGTTTAGGGGAAGAGCGACTCGGAAACGAGCAGATTTATGATTACGTTTAATTTGAATGGCTATCATCTATCAAACTTATGTATATATACTCATATACATTACCTAATAGGCATAATTTTTGTAGAACATGAATATACACTTAAGAAAGTATAAGACGTTCTTATGAATCGGTAAACATGCATGTAAAACTTGATTGCGAGTGAAATATTTACATTAAATGCGGGAAATGTTCTTAAAAACTTAAATCAACTGTGACAGACCTTAATTTCTCGATACCAGCGCCGCAGTCCACTTCTTCCTACGGGAACACTGCTTCAATAGTATTTTTTTGTAATGAAACTTCTAACCGATTGTTTATTTATTATTAAAACCCATACTCATAATTATAGTTTTTGTAATTAGCAGTGGTAGGGCGTCTTGTGAGCCCGGAACGTTAGGTTCCACCACCAGTAATGCATTTCGGTTTGAACAGTTGGGAAACCAGTGATGGGTGTTGTCGCCATTGTAATGTAAAATTAAGGCTTAGATCTCAAGTCTCAAGGTGAGTGGTGGCATTCATGTAGCTGATGTCTATGGGCTCCGGTAACCCCTTAACACCAGGTATACCGGGAGCTCTTTGACCTATCTAAGCAAAATCTACGCATTTTACTGTGAGCACAGTACAGCAGGACATTGCCATTGATGCAGTTCTGATTGCCATTCTGATGTGTGCTTGATTCTGTGTGATTCATTATTTCAAAGCTACTAAGACTTCAGGTTATTACCTCAAAGTGGATGGTGGCATTCAAGATGTGGTAATGATGGGCTCATTCTATAGTAACCATTGAACACCAAATAACTCACATAGCGGCTCACCAATTTTAAGTCACCCCAGAATCTTTTCTAGTCACCGGCAGAGTTAATCCTTACTATTAGGTATTCTACTAGGACCCAGGACCATGGCGTCCATTTGGGAATATTTCTGTCTAGCAATCTATGGAGTACCTACGTTCAGCAACTGACGTGATGATGATTTTGTAGCGGTAGTTATCATACAACACAAGGTATTTGATAGATACCTGAATCTCACTTACGACATTTTCAAGATAAGTTTGCATGTATACAGTTACGAATTCCAAGTTCTTATAAGCAATATAACCCGCTCGGTGGAATTTTTTCCTTTGTCGTAAAACCTCCTACAATTTAAACATGGAGTTTTGTCACCAAAAAATAACGATAATAACAACTTTATTAAAGGATTTAAACGAAAAACAGCACACTCATTTGGATTCGTGAATAACAACTTCTTTACAAAGGAAAGCAATCGATTTAATGCTTTTTCTTTTTAAGTTACAGCACACAGTATAAGTTACGTTGACATAATTCGTACCCATATAGAGCCAAGACCAAAGGCCAAGACTTATTCAATTCAAATAACACTAGACCAACATTGGCTCTCCACTTTGACTTCTGTTACGTGATAAAAATTACCGTGATAATTAAGTAATTTTGTTTCGTCAACAAAAACCGTCCTACGAAACCTATAAAAACATTTTTGGTTTTATATTAATGACCTCAAACTAGATCGGACGGGGCGACCTTGTTTCTGATGAAAAACACATATCCAACGCGTTCGGACCCTCCTGATGATATCGGGCAGGTCGAAGAAATTTGCATGTTTCGTCACAAGAAAACGGGGGTGGTGGGTCGCGTGCGCCACGCGCCACTTCCGGCGGGGGATCCGCGACCTCGATACAACCCGCTTCAGATATCCTCAGCTTTGCCGCTCTGTGTCCATACTATGTGTCTACATTAACACTTAAACTTTGAAGTCGTCGTGGCCTAAAGGATAAGACGTCCAGTGCAATCGTATGTAACGATGCACTGGTATTCGAACCCCGCAGGCGGGTACCAATTTTTCTAATAAAATATACTTAGCAAATGTTCACGATTGACTTCCACGGTGAAGTGAAGTGACATCGTGTAACAAAAATCAAACCCACAAAATTATAATTTGCGTAATTAGGTACTGGTGGTTGGACCTCTTGTGAATCCGCACGGGTAGGTACCAACACCCTGCCCATTTCTGCCGTGAAGCAGTGATGCGTTTCGGTTTGAAGGGTAGGGATAACAGGGCCCTGAAAATGCGATACTTTAAGATAAATATTTTTTGTATGGAAACTAGCGACATCTTGTAGCGGATGCCCTAAACTTATATATTGTTAAAGTTAAGGCATTTAAATAATGTATAACTAAACACATAAAATAAAAACAATTAATCATACAAGTCTTTATTTGTTATAGACAAATTAATTTAATTTTGTTTATTTGTGGTTTCTGAAAATTTACAAAATCCTTCCTTAAAAATAAAATATAGGATAGGTAATATGTTACTGCCATCAAGAGCGATGAGAGACTAATCGAAGTGAAGCCATCTAGTGGCCGACGCCCGTAAACATTTTTGTTGAGTACTTGAGTTGCTTATCTATAACTAATTTATGTGTATTATCTATGACTGATAAGCAAGGGCGTGTGGCTCTTACGATAGTCGCTTTTGGTTCAACATGAAATAAACCTTAAAACAGGTAAATATAGATTATTTTGGTGTAGTAGTGGGTGTTTTCTCAAAGGCACGTTCGCAATTTGAACTCTAACGCTCTGCTAAATAGTATTTTTGCAAAGTAACTGATGGTAGGACCTCTTGTGAGTCCGCACGGGTAGGTACCACCGCCCTGCCTATTTCTGCCGTGAAGCAGTAATGCGTTTCGGTTTGAAAGGTGGAGCAGCCGTTGTAACTATACTGAGATCTTGGAACTTATATCTCAAGGCGGGTGGCACATTTACGTTGTAGATGTCCATGGGCTCCAGTAACCACTTAACACTAGGTGGGCTGTGAGCTCGTCCACCCACCTAAGCAATTAAAAAAAAACTTGAGTAAAAATGTAAATATGAAATAAATCCACCTTTCTGTTGGTTCAAATGATATAAAAAGTAAGATTTAATTTTTTATTAGCTGCCACAATATGCAGACGGGCGCTACATTGGCTAGAGACACCATTGCTGGTACGGCTCTGTAAAGGAGTAGTATGGCTAGCAAGCCAGCACTAGTACCGACCCTCCACCTCCTGCCGCGAAGCCGTTATGCGTTACCGTTTGAAGAGTGTAAGAGAATGCATTAGCATTATAATATTGATAAGCTCCGGTAACCACATACCACCAGCTGAGCTGTGAGCTATCCAAATTTAATTACAAAATCGAAAATAAAGCATTAAAATTGTGTGACATTTTTTTACCGCTTTCATTAGCTCACTTTTCGGGTACCAAATTTACGTTTGTATAAAGGTTTAATGTTGTATCACTACATAGTATAAAACAAAGTCGCTTTCTCTGTCCCTACATCCCTATGTATGCTTAAATATTTAAAACTACACAACGGATTTTGATGCGGTTTTGTTTAATAGATAGAGTGATTGAAGAGGAAGGTTTATGTGTATAATAACATCCATTAAATAGTAGAGAAATCAATAATAAATTACAGTTTCCGAAGCGAAGCGGGGGCGGGTCGCTAGTTAAATTAATAAACACAATATAACGAGCGCCTTGTTTGTATAATATCTTACTAATATAGATAACGCATTCTCATATCATTTGTGAGTCAGTGCGACTGTCGTTGCGAGCGAGACTGCACGCGATCCGTAAAATGTTCAACAAAACATATATTATCTTAGTTAATAAATTTACATCACGACAGAATGTTAGGTGAGTTTCGTTTTTGACTGGTCTTAGGTCTAGAGCATATTAAGCCCGCACGGAGAATAGTAACTTGTCTACATGTCTACATGTATTGATACATTAAAATCGGGACGTCAATCTTAACAATAGATGGGCCAAAGTTACTAAGATTATATTCCCACTTAAGGCTGTTAGAACGGATTCATTTCATTATGTTTGCTCGATAAACAATGCAATAATTCGCGTTGTGATTAAATGTTCCAATGTAGTATTTGACAAATATAAATATATACTTTCATTGTTTCATTGGTATATATAACTAAATACATTTATTTACCAGTAGTATATGGTTAATAATGCCCGCTAACCTTGCGAATACATTTTCCTTGTCTTACAATCTAAAATTATAAATATATAATTTAAATGCTATTTACGCACACGGCGATGTGTGTACGTACGTACGAATCCACACATTCATCACGTTGTATGCTAATTTCAAGTTTCGATACAATACTTGAGTCGTCTATTATCATAGGTGGCAATCTGTGCATTTGGACAAAAAAATGTTATTGATATGTCAATACAGATTGATTTGAATATAATCGTCTCCTTCAAAGAATACGGTTCAAAACCTGCATTAAATAAAGTATTAACTTAACCTGTTATTTATCTAAGATGTCGTTCAGAAGAGTTTTGTGACTGCCAATGGAATACAAAGTAATAATTCGTTTTTCTAATTTACCAATAATTGTCCAAAAGTCACATTGCCGGCTTTGATAATAGTCGACTCATTTATTTGTAATGAAACTGTTTATTTAACACTGTGAACACATTTAAAATAAAATTATTACGACTGCAGCGCGAAAGAATGTACGTATTCAGAAGGAATTGTGTATTTTTAAATGCTGTGGTACATTTTAAATTTCTGATACCTGGAAATTCGGAAGATTTTTCAATTTTTTTAACCAATTTTACTACCAGGACAACAAAAAATCATTATTATTAACCGACTCCAAAAATTTGGAATTTCTTAAATCGACTGTTTCTTTGTGTACTACCTCAGAAAAATTATCTGGGTGAAACAATTGTTTTTAATGGAAGTACTTCCTGTGTGGTCCCTTTTTAATATTGTCAACACCTATAAGGTAGTGACAATATTCAACAGTGTTATTCTTAATAATGCTTATTTTATTTGTTACGATTACATTGTTGATGCTCTCGATAGTAAATATATAAATATCGTTAAATTACGTTTTCTTTTTGTTAAAATTATGTATTTGCACTAGACGCTGTCCTGATTTAGTCTCCTTACACTTTCAATAAATATAACTTAAAAAAAATCTATATCGCACTATTGACGTATTGTAATATATAATAATATGTAAGGAAGTAAGTCAGTGAATGAGCTCAAGTTGGAATAAATAAATATTGGATTAAACTATGAAGTAGTTGTTAGTCACTTTTTGTATAGCCAGCTCTAATAGACTAGGTGGACTACAAACATCAAGGACTGCAAACTCTATGGTTCAAAAACATCGGCAACGCTTCGACCATAGCCGCTTCGTTGCCTTAGGTTCTGCCTCACACGAGTGAACATAGTGCATTGACCCGTATTGTCTACATCTACCTGGTATATCAGGTATATTACACCGTTTAACATACCTGTGATTTACGAATAGACTGATATGTCAAATATTTGAATTTGGACTCCTTTTTTTTGTATTTTTTTAAATATTTTGAGCTAACCTAACCCTAAAAATCATAGCATAAACGCACAATCTTCTGTGACAACTTGAAAGACATATTACGTTCCGTGAATTGTACGTACAATTTGTTTTCAACAGTTTTTCATAGCATTTGTTATAACATTTGTCATAACATTGTTTCCGTGCTATGAAATGTCCTTCTTCAAACGAGGCTTGTGCAGAGTATTAAAGGGTAGGCAGCGACTTGGCTTTGCCCCTGATATTGCTGACGTCCATTAGCGACGATGACCACTCACCATCAGGTGGGCCGCATGCTCGTCTGCTACAAGGGCAATAAAAAATATCATTCGTTACTTTGCAACGATGGCTAACGATAGCTAATAAGACCATCCTTTTATAAGAAAACTAGCGACCCGCCCTCGCTTCGCTTCGGAAACATTAAAACACACATGAAACCAAAAAAAAAAAAAAAAAAAAGTAGCCTATGTTCATCAGGGACAATGTCGGCTTCTAATGGCAAAAGAATTTTTCAAATCGGTCCAGTAGTTTCGGAGCCTATTCGAAACAAACAAACAAATCTTTCCTCTTTATAATATTAGTATAGATAGTATTTTTTTACTACAGTACATAATTTCGTAATTTAAAATGTGAGCAATATTAAGTACTCTTCTCAAATTATTGATTCTAAAATTAATCTAATTTCAACTAATGTTTAACTCAACGTCCAAAGAAGAAACATTAATTTTATCGGAATTAGTATGTATAAAAATAGTGATAAATGTATTAACGATAATCCATTTTAGATATGGTAATATTATTATAATCTCTACAAATGAAAAAAAAATTGAAGTGTATATTTATTTGTAATATTAAAATTTATTTATTTATTTATTTAATAAACAATGTTTCAACAGCATTTAACTAGACACAGGGTACAGAGGATGAATGAATGAAAGAGGATGATTAACCGCTTTTTACTACATGCATATGAACGTATGTACATATATACGCTAAATATACCACAATAACATTTTTTATAATTTTTGTCTGTCTGTATGTCTCTTTGTTCCGGCTAATCTCTGGAATGGCTGGACCAATTTTGACGGGACTTTCACTGGCAGATAGCTGATGTAATAAAGAGTAACTAAGGCTACTACTATTTCAGAAAAATCGAAATTATTATAAAATAAAGTGAGGTTTTTTTAAATTCCACGCGGACGAAGTCGTGGGTACAGCTAGTGTTACATATGTTTCTCTTATCAAGGCAGCTTTCGAATTTTATTGTAACAATTTCAGAATGTACATTTTAATACTGATAGTGGACTTGACGGATACAACAAGTGAACTGATAATAAAGCCTAATAATTTATTTTTTCTCAAAACACATTTACCCTAGCAATAAACTCATTAGATTATTGTGACTATCAACAAACTTATCAAGAGTACAATAAATGTAGACATACTTGGTATATATACATATAAATAAAATTGGAGTGCCTGTTTGTATTATTGAAATAACCGTTTCTTACTACATGCATATGAATATATATAAGATACATACACAAAAATAACATTTTTTACAATTTTTGTCTGTCTGTCTGTCTGTTTGTTCCGGCTAATCTCTGGAACGGATGGACCGATTTTGACAGGTTTTCACTGACAGGTAGCTGATGATATAAGGGTATAAATAAAATTAGAGTGTCTGTTTGTAGTATTGAAATAACCGCTTTTTACTTTCTTTTTTTATATTTTTTTTATTGCTTAGATGGATGGACGAGCTCACAGCCCACCTGGTGTTAAGTGGTTACTGGAGCCCATAGACATCTACAACGTAAATGCGCCACCCACCTCGAGATATAAGCTCTAAGATCTCAGTATAGTTACAACGGCTACCCCACCCTTCGAACCGAAACGCATTACTGCTTCATGGTGGAAATAGGCTGCATGCATTCCGAACATGCATGTCCTACAAAATTTCGAGAGTTAATGCCACAACGTTAATATCCTAAAATGGCTGTTGTCTGTTAACTGTTACGTACTTTTATCCCTACCTACTCACTGGTAGCCTACGAGGCTATTCCAGCTACACGCGGTTGGGTAGGTGAGCTTACGGGTTCAACAAATTCAAACTTCAATTTGATAACACTAGCCTAAGCAAGAGCCGTGCTTCGCTGAATCTACCACCGGATCGTAATCGCGATCCACTGAGAAGATCCGGTGAGAAACTCAGTGGACTGTGTCTGTGGGTTAGACTGTTACTACATATAGAGTAAAACTTATTATAACAGTATTTTAATAAAAATAAAAATAACAGTATTTTCTTCAGTTTTCGCAAGACGTAGACATAATTTAAAACTACTTTTACAGTTTTTTTTATTATCATTACACCATTTTCGACGTATCGAATACTTAATCTCTGAATCAAGTTTTAATTATATAAAATATATATATGTGTATCTATATATTAATACGTGAAGCAAAAACTTTGTATCCCTTTTTACGAAAAACGCGAGAACGGAGGAGTATAAAATTTTCCACACTTATAGAGAATATAGAGAAGAAGTGCACAATGCTAATATTTTTTTTAAATAATGCATTAAAGATACATTAAATCAATAAAGCAAACATTACACACACTACATACCATGTATTTGACGCACACACGCATCCATACTATTTTTTGTCAAACTTTTGTTCTTGACGTCTGTTGTCAAATTGAGAATAGAATAAATATTGTTTGTCTTTGTTAATATTTTTTATAGTGTAGTCTTAGCGAAATTTGTGATTATAAAAGTATAAAATACAATCATAATAGTGTACAAACTTACAATTCCAATTAATTACAGTCGAATTTCGACTACTGCGGGACATCTAGTATATATATACATACACATTAGCTTAATGTAAAATTTACAACTGAGAATAGAAGAGCATCAAATGGGGATGTACATATCTGCCGCTCGCATTGATAACTACCGCCCGGACACGTACATTGTATGGAACGCACTTTACGCTTCATTGATTTTATTTGGGTGTTTACCTTTCAGAAAAACTATACACATAAATAGCTACGTACTTGGGTTTTGTTTGTTTTGCTTCGAAATCACAGTTTTTCGAATGAGTAGCACGCATTTTACCGGTCAGTAAAGATGTCATTGTTAGTAATTCTTTACTTACTGGTGGTAGTCTTTACTGGTGGTAGGACCTCTTGTGAGTCCGCGCGGATAGGTACCACCACCACCGTACGTATTCCTGCCGTGAAGCAGCAATGCGTTTCGGTTTGAAGAGTGGGGCAGCCGCTGTAACTATACTTGAGACCTTAGAACTTATATCTCAAGGTGAGTGGTGGATTTACGTCGTAGATATCTATGGGCTCCAGTAACCACTTAACACCAGGTGGGCTGTGAGCTCGTCCACCCACATGCTACCCATCTTGAGACATGAGTTCTAAGGTCTGAGTTCAGTACAACGGCTGCGCCATCCTTCAAACCGAAACGCATTATTGCTTCACGGCAGAAGTTGGGGGGGTGGTAATACCTACCCGTGCTGACATACAAGACGTCGACTTACCATCAGTAAATGTCAGTAATTGTTTATAATGGAGTATCAACAACTGTGATTCGAATAATGTAACGCATACAATTTACAAGCTCAGAACTGTGGACGACTAACGTATTTCTTAAAATTAATTCCGTGTTATGAAAAGTCGTAAAATACTTTTTTTTTCTGCAATTTCCAGATGGGCTAGTAATCTTCGTTCGACCACAGACAGCTACCTCCACAATCAAGGGTCAGAACCTTTGACGTTAGCGACGCTCGGTGACGTCATCGAAGAGACAGTTCATAAATTTCCCGGTAGAGTAGCCGTGAAGTCAATGCACGAAGGCATCAGTCTTACCTATGAGGAGTTGTTACTACGGGTAACTTATTAAGTTCATCATCGACGCTTGTTTTCTTAACACTCAATTTGCATTGATCTCTAAAATCCGGTCACCGTACTCGTCGAACCCGTCGCTTGGGACGAAGATCTCGGCGAGTAAACTAATCCACAGACACAGCCCACTGAATTTCTCGCCGGATCTGCTCAGTGTGTCGCGTTTCCGATCCGGTGGTAGATTCTGCGAAGTACTGCTCTTGCTGGGGCCAGTGCTCGCAGCACCTCCGGTTCGAGACCCGAGAGTTCACCTACACGCAAGGTTAACGCTGATATAAAGTTCAAGGCTATCAACATAGGTAGAAAAAAAAGATCTCTAAAGAGGCGTCACAAGTGTTACCATATAAGTTAATATAAACTCACGTATCTAATAAATAAGGGTATGGTAAAAATTATAAAATAAATGAAATCAATATTATTGACTCCTTGGTGCAGTTGTTAGCGTCATCGGCTGATGGTTTTTTGCGATGGTGACTGATGGAGGCTTCGATTCCCAGAAGCAAAGCTTTGCTTACTACTTGTCCTGGTTTCTATATTTGATCTATATTTGCGGCCAGATGAACATAATTGAAAAAAAAGAATCATATTTACTTTCCTCACCCTGTTTTCTAATTTCCAATTTATAGGCGGATTCTATGGCATATGGTCTTCGAAATCAAGGACTACAAAAAGGCGATCGAGTAGGAGTCTGGTCACATAACAGCGTTTCTTATTTAGTTTCCTTAGTGGCAGCAGCCAGAGCTGGTTTGATTTCGGTAAGTAATGAACACACGTAAAATTGAAAATATCCTTAACACAATGGACGTGATTTGTAAAATCTCATTGAATACATAGTCATTGGCTAATAATCTGTACTTTTTTTATTGCTTAAATGGGTGGACGAGCTCACAGCCCACCTGGTGTTAAGTGGCTACTGGAGCTCATAGAAATAATTATTTTTTATTGGTGAGATGGGTGGACGATCTCACAGCCCACCTTACGTTAAGTGGTTACTGGAGCCCATAGACATCTACAACGTAAATGCGCCACCCACCAAACATTGCATCGCTCAACACGAATAGACCGGACGTCTTATCCCTTAGGTCACGACGACAATGGTTTAATTTTATTTGAAAAAAAACGGCTATATCCCTATAAATATAATATCCCATGTACCCAAAAAGTGGTGCGATACACTAAATCAAATTCCGTTTGCAGGTTTTAATCAATCCAGCATATGAAAAGAAGGAACTAAGTTTTTGCATTAAGAAATCAGGAATGAAGTGTTTACTAATAAGCGATGCTCTACCGAAGAGGGAGTATTACAGAACTTTAGAGCAATTAATACCTGAATTAAAAGACGGAAAGCCTGGGTTATTAAAGTCTAGAGAATTTCCTTTTTTATCTTCAATTATTGCTGATGGTAGGAACAAATTGCCGTAAGTAGCACAGCTCTAGCTCTTGATTCTGCTTAGCCGTATTTTCATATCTTCCGCCTTTATGCATATTAAGTAGAAAATATACAAAAACACTTTAAAAAAATGTTATTGAATAATTGTGACCTGTAGGTCTGGGTAGTCAATGAGCCTTTTTGTTAAGGCACTTTGTAGATGTGTGATCACATTGACGCAAAAATTTGCAAAGAGTACAAACTTGACTAAGCCTTTTATCGCCTACCTGTTCTGGTGAAACTGGAAAGAACTTTGGGCCACCAGTAATCGTTCCTTCATAAAAAAGGGTACAAACCCACTCAGATGAATACTCCTCTACTTATATACCGCTCAGATACTTAACGCACCCTGCGTTAAGCCACCGCGGGTTAAGGTATGATTTATGCAGAGAAACAAAGGGAATTAGAGAACGAAATAATTAAATATTTGAACAAACGGAAATAATTGAAGGAAGTAATTGAAATAACGCGTGACTTTGCTTTAGTATCTCGTTACGTGAGTCGTTTCTTCATCGATATCATGAAAATTGGTTAGGTTGCAGGGGATCCCATGTGAATGGATTGTCCCGGGATAGCTACTTGCCGAACCGAACTTTGCTCTTTCGACCAAAATGGATCACTATTATGGTTTATATTGCAGTGGTACTATCTCATACAAATCGTTGACCGAGGATTATAAGAACAGAAGCGAAGTGTCACAATACGTCAAGGAAACCAAACCAAGTGACGGTTCTATCATTCACTTCACTTCCGGTACCACAGGTAGCTAAAGGTATATATTATTTTGTGGGTTCAATAGAAAGAATTCGGCATTCACTTTAGATGAATCAATGGTTAATTTTATGAAACTAAAGAATCCGAAGTGATATAAAATTGCTAGAATTGAGAAATAGAAAAGCAATTATTACAATACAATAATCCCTTCTACAGCACAGTAGATTTGTTTCGCGTTATAGGAAACGCGTTGTAGGAGCCTATATAACGCTTTATGTACAAATATTTTATAACACAATATAACAAAATTTTTTACAAATCAAAAACTAGAAACACAAATTTAATAAATTAATTTTATTTTATATCGCACACTATTGGGACAGTGTACAAAGTATGCGAAGTTAATTATGAACATGTGCATATAATTATAAATTTCACAGTACAGAAATATAACGTGTTCCTCCAACTGTAATCCTCGCGTTGTATGGGGTACCCGTGTTATACGAGGAACTAAAATCGCGTCATATATAATTCGCTATGAGGGATACAGGGTACCGTGTTATAAGGAGGATTACTGTACAATTAAACTTACTTACAACGACGACGAAATCATGTGTCTATAGGTTCCTTTATCTATCAGAAAAACCGTGTTAATAAACCAAAGGAAATACATATCGCAAATGTAATATCAAATACAGTATCATAGAAAACGTTTCAATTTGTTTGTTGATTTTTAGAAGACCCGCGCTATCTCCATTGGTTACCGCCGCCCGAGACTATCGGGAATATTATGAATTTTGTTAATAGTTTCCGATAGCATTAATTAATTTAATAACCGCGAAAAGTGATATCTACTTATAATTATATAGTTAAGTATAATTATATAGTTAAGTATAATTTGCGTAATTACTGGTGGTAGGACCTCTTAAAAGTCCGCGTGGGTAGATACCACCAGCCCGCCTATTTCTGTCGTGAAGCAGTAATGCGTTTCGGTTTGAAGGGCGGGGCAGCCGTTGTAACTATACTTGAGACCTTAGAACTTATATCTCAGGGTGGGTGGCGCATTTACGTTGTGGATGTCTATGGGCTCCAGTAACCACTTAACACCAGATGGGCTGTGAGCTCGCCCACCCATCTAAGCAATAAAAAAAATATATCCGAAGTTGAAATAAAAAATATATAACTACTTACATCAACTCCATTTGGAATTCTAATAAACGACATCTTCCATTGTAAGGCTCTGTGCTAGAATAATATTTGGTTTGATTGATTAGGCCTCCCAGAAGGTGTACCGACCTATTGAGATTCACGAGGATCCGCTGGATGCGGCAAAAAATTGATCGTTGTGGCGTAGTTTGGGGTAGGTCTATGTCCAACAGTGGCTGAAAGATAGATAGATAGATAGATACAAGACAAAATAAAGCCTTTGCTGACCATTGAACGATTTTTTTTTTTATTGCCTTTGTAGGCAGACGAGCATACGGCCCACCTGATGGTGATTCATTTTATGTTATCCCTATTTGTACTTCACAGGGGAACCGAAAGCGGCATTGGACTCGCACCTCGGCGTTGTAAACAACACTTACTTTACAGGCAAAAGAAATACTTTCCACGAAGGACATCATAACATTTGTGTTCAGGTAAATTTTGGACATTCTTGGTTGAAAATTTTGCTTTTAGTAACTTCATTATAAATATTTCATATCATATTCATAAACTCATTATCCACATTTTGCTTGCTGCAATAAGATATTTATATACAGATATGAAGGGACCGTCGTTTGTAACGTTTTTAAAATTATATTTAGCTGTTTCGTGGTAATTCGAACGAAATGTTTCTTTATGTGATTGATTCTTTATAGCATCGGAATAACCACAATCCTATTTATCAAACATACTGCATGTATGTATGTATGTATGTATGTATTTATGTATGTATGTATGTATGTATGTATGTATGTATGTACATATACCTAGTCAGGTCATAAATATTGTCACACAGTAAAAACTTTTCTTTTAGAATGCTGGCCACAAAAAAGTTTATTGAATTCGAATTTCGAATTGTTCATGAAAAAAAATATGTATACTTTTAGAATTTTACTCATTTTTAAATATGGAGTGAACGCTTAAAGAAGACCGTGTTGCAGTTATTGCGTTGCATCGTTGCGGTTACGCGCCAATTCTAATTTTTAACATACTGAAAAATTTGAATATAACCATAAGATTCGTTTATCGTACCATTAAACGATACAATGAAGACTCTAGTGTAGGTGACAGGTCAAGAAGTGGTCGCCCTCGGTCTGTTAGGACTCCAGCAGTGATAAAAGCTGTGAAGGCGCGAATTCAAAGAAATCCCAAACGTAAGCAGAAACTGTTGGCCCTTCAGATGGGGTTAAGCAGAACCACGGTGAAAAGGGTGTTAAATGAAGACTAGGCCTTCGGGCATATCGAAGAAAAACAGGACATCGTTTGAATGCTCGTCTAATGGACCTGAGACTGAAGAGATGCCACGCTTTGTTGAAGCGGTACGCGGGAAAAAAAATATCGGGAAATTCTTTTTTCGGATGAAATTTTTTTTACCGTAGAAGAGAGCTACAACAAACAAAATGATAAGGTGTACGCACACAGTAGTGAAGAAGCGAGCAACCGTATTCCGCGTGTCCAACGAGGTCATTTTCCATCCTCGCTCATGGTATGGTTGGGAGTTTCTTATTGGGGCTTAACAGAGGTACATTTTTGTGAGAAAGGTGTAAAAACGAATGCAGTTGTGTATCAAAATACAGTCCTGACGAACCTTGTGGAACCTGTTTCTCATACCATGTTCAATAACAGGCACTGGGTATTCCAACAAGATTCGGCGCCAGCTCATAGAGCGAAGAGCACACAAGACTGGCTGGCGGCGCGTGAAATCGACTTCATCCGGCACGAAGACTGGCCCTCCTCCAGTCCAGATTTGAATCCGTTAGATTACAAGATATGGCAACACTTGGAGGAAAAGGCGTGCTCAAAGCCTCATCCCAATTTGGAGTCACTCAAGACATCCTTGATTAAGGCAGCCGCCGATATTGACATGGACCTCGTTCGTGCTGCGATAGACGACTGGCCGCGCAGATTGAAGGCCTGTATTCAAAATCACGGAGGTCATTTTGAATAAACTTTAGTGTCATAAGAATCTATGTTTTGTTAAGTTCATTTTGGTATATGAATGGTTACATAATAAATAAACTTGTTTCAATTACTTTACATTAAACACGTGACAGAATTTATGACCTGACTAGGTATTTGTTGTCTAAATTCAATGTCGGTGGCTTTTCTAGTATCCCTACTAGTATGGCCGCTCTTTGTATGTCAATAACTTTCTAAAATGAAAAAAACCGTTCACGTATGTGCATACCTCCATTATTATTTTCACATATGTCCTATTATTATTGCTATATACCTCCAATGTGCTATTAACAACTAACACCCTTCTATCTAATATTTTAATCCGTCTTAATAATTCATTACGTCAATATCTACTAAATAATAAATAATTATTTATTCGTAGGTCAATATTTGTTTGGTATTAATTTCCTGCTTTCCATGTTTTATTGTATTTTCAACTCTTTGTTTGTCAATTTTAGGTTCCAATATTCCACGCTCTCGGATCCGTCGTGACAGTACTGGGAGGCTTCCGTCACGGGGCCAGCCTGGTTCTAGCCGCACCTATTTACGACATCTCTGCAAATGTGAAAGCTTTGTTTGGTGAAAAGTTAGTTACATTTTAACATTGACAAGACAAACACTTGTATCGTTGTGCTTTCGACATTACTTCACTCAATATCTTAAATATTTAATATGCTGTGCTTACTATTGATTACTTTATCGACGTAACATTTCATACGAAATTTTTATCAGAAAAAAGACTTTATTATGCGTGGTACTGACAATTTAGAGCTTTATAGAGAGTTTAAAGCACTGATCATAAAAACAATCACTCGTAAATCTATATATTAATACGTGAAGCAAAAACGTTGTACCCCTTTTTACGAAAATTGCGCGGACGGAGGGATATGAAATTTCCCACACTTATAGAGAATATAGAGAAGGAGTGCAGAATGCTAATATTTTTTTTAATTATGCTTTAAAATACATTAAATCAATAAATAAAAACATTACACACACTACCATGTATGTATTTGACACGCACACATATATTGCTTATTGTTAAACTTTTGTTATTGCTTATAGTCTGTGGTCAAATTGCGAATAGATTAAATATGGACTTTTTGGCGGGAACGCGAGGAGTGAAGTTGTGTGATTTGTTTTATTTTGTCTATTTAGTGTTTCTTCGGGTTTAGATGTGTAATAATGGTGGTTTATTAACTGTTTAATATCTGTGAAAGTGCACAAATGTGGGAAAATGAAACAAAGCCCCTGGACATGACTTCTCGGAATCCTCCAAAAAGTCCACTGAAAAAATCTTAGTAAATGACCACCATTTGTGAAAAATGAAGTCGTCGTGGCCTAAAGGATAAGACGTCCGGTGTATTCGTATGTAGCGATGCACCGGTGTTCGAATCCCGCAGGCGGGTACCAATTTTTCTAATGAAATACGTACTCAACATATGTTCACGATTGACTTCCACGGTGAAGGAATAACATCGTGTAATAAAAACCAAACCCGCAAAATTATAATTTGCGTAATCACTGGTGGTAGGACCTCTTGTGAGTCCGCGCGGGTAGGTACCACCACCCCGCCTATTTCCGCCGTGAAGCAGTAATGCGTTTCGGTTCGAAGGGTGGGGTAGCCGTTGTAACTATACTGATACCTTAGAACTTATATCTCGAGGTGGGTGGCGCATTTACGTTGTAGATGTCTATGGGCTCCAGTAACCACTTAACACCAGGTGGGCTGTGAGCTCGTCCATCCATCTAAGCAATAAAAAAAAAAAAATTTTTTACTGAGGTTATATTCCATCCCATATCATATCAATTCATTTCATTTAATTTCATCCCAGTTGATTAGTGTCTCAAATTAATCATCTTCATTTCATTTCACTCCATAATATCATTTTTCATGCAAATATGAACATAAATTAAAATAAGACATGACTTAAAAGTCTCAGATACCAGGTCATAAAATCTCTTAAAAAAAAAAAAAAAGATTAAATATGACTTTTTGGCGGGAACGCGAGGAGTGATGTTGTCTGATTTGTTTTATTTTATCTATTTAGTGTTTCTTCGAGTTTAAATGTGTAATAACGGTGGTTTATTAAATGTTTAATATCTGTGAAAGTGCACAAATGTGGGAAAATGAAACAAAGCCGCTGGACGTAGCTTCTCGGGATCCTCCAAAAAGTCCACTGAAAAAATCTTAGTAAATGACCACCATTTTACTGAGATTATATTTCATCCCATTTCATTTCATTTAATTTCATCCCAGGTGATTAATGTCTCAAATTAATCATCTTCATTTCATTTCACTCCATAATATCATTTTTCATAAAAATATGAATATAAATTAAAATAAGACATGACTTAAAGGTCTCAGTTACCAGGTCATAAAATCCTTTAAAAAAAAAGATTAAATATTGTTTGCCTTTATTGATATTTGTCTAAAGTGTAGCCTCGGTGAAATCTGTGATTATAGAAGCTTAATAGTCTTTGACAACAGAATCATAATAGTGTACAAACTTATGATTTCAATTAAATAAAGTCAAATTTCGACTACCGAGGGACCACTAGTATATTATTAAATTACATGGTACCATGTAATTTAACCATGGTAACCATGGTATTTTTACTGGTGGTAGGACCTCTTGTGAGTCCGAGCGGGTAGGTATCACCGCCCTGCCTATTTCTGCCGTGAAGCAGTAATGCGTTTCGGTTTGAAGGATGGGGCAGCCGTTGTAACTATACTGAGACCTTAGAACTTATATCTCAAGGTGGGTGGCGCATTTCCGTTGTATATGTCCATGGGCTCCAGTAACCACTTAACACCAGGTGGGCTGTGAGCTCGTCCATCCATCTAAGCAATAAAAAAAAACCACTGTCATTTATTTACTTTTCATCCATTTCAGGTGTACAGCAATAACGGGCACTCCCACCATGTTCGTAGACATCTTATCCCAGGTCAGAGCCCAAGGTCAGGAGGTGCCTTCTGAGCTCCGGGTGGCGGTCGCCGCCGGAGCGCCCTGCAGCCCCCAATTAATTAGAGATATACAAACACACCTCAATGCTGAATCAGTTAAAGTGGGTCCTTCTCCTTAGTACTTAGTGCTTATTACATTGTAAATGCGTATCACTACCCAATCAACCAATTGTTATATGTAGTCTGCATTTATTTTCTACACTTGCCTCCATACTAGATAAAGTGGCGAGCATACTACAAGTCAGCATTTTTAAGATTGGACATTGGCATTAGATGTAGATGATTAGATGAAAGTACTAAACGGTGGGCAGCGACTTGGCTCTGCCCCCGCATTGCTCGTCAGCACGGACGTCTCCATGAGCGACGGTAACCACTCACCATCAGGTGGGCCGTATGCTCGTCTGTCTATAAGGGCAACAAAAAATTTAGTATATACTGATAATAATTAAAGGTACTTTTACGGTTTTCATCTTCACGATAAGAGAATGTTAGATAAGCGTCAACCTTCTTCTCTATTAAACTTATTCACATAAATAAGTACCTAATATGTACATAGTACCTACAGGAGCGGGCATCTGTGGGCTGAAAAACATTTTTATCGTGTGGTACCTGTATTTATTTTATAATAATTGTAAAAAATATTATAAAGTATTAATAATTGAACATAATAAAATTGTTAATTACATTAGATATCATTTATAATGTCAGTCACACATGACATTACTGCTAGGTGTTATCATTAGGTGCGAAATTATTAATACATGTCGTATTTAACTCGCTTGCTAGTTAGTCTCAGAATGACTTACGCATCTAGTTATCGGGAGGTCGCAACTTGAAGCTGATTGAGTGTATGAAATAGATGAATGTTAATGTTACTATCATTGATTTAATGTCAATAGAGTGAAGAAGATATCTCTTGTTTTCACATTGACTATCAACATTTGTTTTGACGATGCGAACAACATTACATTATTTGTATTTAATTTCCCCCGTGTTTGTGTCTGATATTACGTACGAAACAGATGAATATATATCAAAGTTGCCCTATGAAATCGAAAGTCCGACACTGCTAGCCGCAACACCAAAATCTTTGAATAGAAATTAATTTACGTTAAATTTTCAGAGTCTATACGGTCTAACCGAGACGACAGCTTGCATATTCCAGTCCAACCAAGGCGACAGTATAGACGTCGTAGCCGAGACGGTTGGCTACATTCAAGATCACGTTGAAGTCAAGGTATAATATGAAGTACTCAAAGTTTTTTATTTATTTGGTACCAAATTAACTAACAGCATACGGGTAAGAGATAACATCAAAAGTTGCTCTGATGTGCTGCGAATTTTCCTTTCATCTTAAGTTACAAGCCTGCGAAGTGGTCCCATTCTTTTATTTATTTATTTATTTAATATATTTTGTACACACAGCTGTTAGAAGAAACACGACAATAAGGATACAGAGTACAAGGGCACTACTTATTTCATGTTGAAATCTCTTCCATTAGGCCCGCGGAAGGAATTACGAATACTAACCTAGTGCATTGATTACGAGCAAAATATACTTCTAGACGCGTTGCTCAACAATTAAAATCACAAACTCCCATAAAATCTTAGTTAAATACCTACGGAACCCGGAGGCCTCGCCGTCAGTGCTCAAAGATGCGTATTTCTCATGACCTGTATGGTCTTCCATTTGTGTCCGTGAAATCCCAATCACGTTCCGCTGTGATTGTCACTAATTGTATTAAAAAGGTGGATTTGTTGAAACACGCGTGCTCTACTCGTACCTCTCGTGTGTTGATCATACAATGACAGACACCTTTCCTGATGAACCAACTTTTTTCTTCCACTATCTATTCGCTGGTAGCCTAAGAGGCTATTCAAGCTACGCCCCGACGGGTAGGTGAGCTCACGGGCTTAACCTGAGAGAATTTGATAACAGCTAGCCTAGCAAGAGCAGTGCTTCGCAAAATCTACCACCGCATCGGAATCGCGATCCACTGAGAAGATCCGACGAGAAACTCAGTGAGCACGTACTAACACATGTTGGTCTGGGGACCGGCGAGGGGGGCCTAAGAAGACGACGTGCAAGCTGCTCTGCACGCGTTTTACGCAAGAGCATCCGAGTGATGAAAGGCAGGCTATCTTCGACCCACGCTGGTTCTGACTAAGCGTGGTATTCCGTAGGATAACTCACTATAACCGCCATCTAGGCGGGCTTCGGATAGCCTGCCGACCGAGAGGGCTGGTGGTCATGGCACCGACGACCGCCGGTCCGGCGTCCCGAGAGGGAGAGTAACGGGAGAGATGTGCTCCCCACTAAACGCTTCACTTTCCCCCCTTTGCCTTTTCATGAGTTCTGTGTGTGAAGAGCCGAAGTCCGGCGATTTTCCCCTGTCCAAAAAGAAAAGGGATATAACAGTATGTAGTTTTAATGTAATTTCTTTAGATATGAACTTATTTAAACAACTTCAGGTGGTAAACGAACAAGGAGAGATCGTTCCGTTTGAAACACCGGGCGAGCTTGTCGTACGCGGCTATAACAACATGATCTGCTACTGGGACGAACCGGAGAAGACTAGGCAAACTCTGGACAAAGACGGCTGGCTGAAGACCGGGTAATAGACCAAGTACAAGATATCTCAAATGAGTAACAGTAACCGTGTGAAAACCCAAATATGATATTTTTTCTTGAGCTAACCAGCTCGGGTCCCTACTGTTAGTAAGCTGTTATTGTTAGGTGGTAGTCAAAGAGATAATAACACGAATTCCGTCATTACTTCGTCGTGGAAGTCATGTTGGAGCACGTTTTAGCGTTTTCGGTGCGTATTGACTTATAGAAACTGATATCATCTATATACCACTGGTAACTGTACTAGTATCAACAGAACTAGTAGTAGTACCTAGCATTAGCCCATTGGATCATGACTTCATTCATACATAATATATACCATTTGTTTTAGTTAAAATCGAAATAAGATCCTTGCTCTTTTCAGGTAATATAGGAAAGAATTTGAACAATTCGTCACTTCCATTTCTATTCCTATTCTATTTTTATACTGAACTAGGTTATCTGGAATATTACTGTTATACTTAAGTAAATTTAATACCATAAAAGTTTTATAAAAAAATATAATCTTTAAAGATTATTTTACCTTAAAGTTGTAAATTGTAAATTGACGAGAGTACAATCAGTCCATTTCAGCCTATATTTAGTATATTGTGCCTGGTAGTTGTACTTAGGTATTTAATGTTGGCCAACTGATCCTAGGGACAAGTTCACGATCAGCAAAGACGGCTACGGCAGGATAGTTGGAAGGATTAAAGATATCATCGTTCGAGGAGGGGAGAACATCGCGCCGAAAGAAATCGAAGATTTGCTGAACACACATCCCGATGTTGAAGAAAGTCAGGTGGGTAAGGAACATAACAGCGACGGTTGCGTCGACATAGTAAAGTTATAAATCAAGGATTATAACAATAATTTTGAGTAGCCTCGTAATTAAATTAACTAGAGGTCCCGCAGTAGTCGAAATTCGACTATAATTAATTGGAATTGTAAGTTTGTACACTATTATAATTGTATTTTATACTTCTATAATCACAAATTTCGCCAAGACTACACTATAAAAAATATGAACAAAGACAAAAAAATATTTAATCTATTCTCAATTTGACAACAGACGCCAAAAACAAAAGTTTGACAATAAATAGTAAAGCACAATAAAGCATTGGATGTTGTGTAAAGCTGTGTGGGTCGCTTCTTACTTTACCGTTTATCTATATATTAATACGTGAAGCAAAAACTTTGTATCCCTTTTTACGAAAATTGCGCGGACGAAGGAGGCTGAAATTTTCCACACTTATAGAGAATATAGAGAAGAAGTGGACAATGCTAATACTTTTTAAAAATAATGCATAAAAGATACATTAAATCAATAAAGAAAACATTACACACACCACATACCATGTATTTGACGCACACACGCATTCATAGTGTTTATTAACAATCTTTTGTTTTTGACGTCTGTGGTCAAATTGAGAACAGATTAAATATTGTTTGTCTTTATTAATATTTTGTTATAGTGTAGCCTTGGCGAAATTTGTGATTATAGTATGTGTACAAACTTACAATACCAATTAATTATAGTTGAATTTCGACTACTGTGTACGACCTCTAGTCTTATTAAACATATCGTCCAGGTCGTCGGAGTGTCGGACAAAAGAGTCGGAGAAGAGCTCTGTGCTGTTGTGAGGCTGCGTGAAGGCGCTGCGTTGAGTCTCGATGACGTAACAAAGCATTTAACAGGAGAAATCGCACGCTTCAAATTCCCGAGGATCCTCAAAGTCACACAAGAGTTCCCGAAGACCGCTTCAGGGAAGATCCAAAAGTATAGACTGAGAGAAATGATCGAGAAAGGACTATTGTGATGTATCGATGTATCGAATGATTTTGATAAAACCAAATATATTTTTAAATTTACAATAATAATAGTATTTCTCTTAAACTCATTCTATAGTTTTTATAATTTTGTGTTTGGATGTCGATTTCAAATAGAAACACCGTTCAATAGCATTCATTTTAATTAATTAGTTACTACATCGTAATTTCCTCGCGCTATCCCTGCCATTCCTTATGTGAATTTTCTATGGCCATTCCTCTCCTTTTTCCCTCTTCTCTCTCTCTTTCTCTCTCTCTCTGGTTCATAGGATGTGTATGTAGTACCTCAATTAGCGGAAAACACAGTATTCACAACAATACCACGATGCCAACACTAAATGTGATTTAATAATAATGAATTCTCATATTCTTCTTTTTAGTAAGAAGAAGAAGGAGACAAAGTAAATCTCTTGTTCTAATAATAAATATTATTATGATTTCCATAGACTACATTTACTATTTTTGAGTTGAAACGTACCAAATTTTTTCTTTCTCTTTACTTTACTAATACATTAATAAACTCGTTTTAACTATTTAAAACAATAGTCTAAATTTGGAGAGGTCGATTAGGGATTGATCGATTCTACTTCGATCGATCGACATCTTCTTATTGGCTTGTATTCACTCAGTTTTGTTTCAAGCAACGCGATCTCAAGCAAATATCTGTTGCGAAAAGAAATCATTAGACAGCGTTAAAGGCAAACAAACAACTCTACCGCTTGTCCGGACTTGTCTCCGAATACACACATTCATTACACTACAAATTTCTGACGCTGCGAATAATTCACAGTTTTCGTGGACACGGTAGTCCCTCCGAGAATGAACCGTAAAATTATAGTTTTAATTTATGTACATATATGACTCGCGAAAACCGAAGAAAATAGCCACGTTCTTAAATATTCTTCTTTTTTTTATTGATTAGATGAGTGGACGAGCTCACAGCCCACCTAGCGTGAAGTGGTTACTGAAGCCCATAGACATCTACGAAGTAAATGCGCCACCCACTTTGGGATATAAGTTCTGAGGTCTCAAGTATAGTTACAACGGCTGCCCCCCACCCTTTAAACTGAAACGCATTACTGCTTTACGGCAAGAATAGGCAGGGTGGTGGTACCTACCCGTGCGGACTCACAAGAGGTCCTACCACCAGTAATTACGCAAATTTTAATTTTGCGGGTTTCATTTTTATTTCACGATGGACTTCCTTCACGACTATTCCTTCACCGTGGAAGTCAATCGTGAACATCTGTTAAGTACGTATTTCATTAGAAAAATTGGTACCCGCTAGTGGGATTCGATCATCGTTGCATCGCTAGATTTGAGTGCACCGGACGTCTTATCCTTTAGGCCACGACGACTTCCAACTACAACCGAAGCTAAAACCGTAATAAAGTACTGGCATCTCACGATGTATTTTCCTTTCATTGCTGACGCAGCAACGACTCACTAACGACAAATTATTCACTGAGATCCATAAACAATATTTCAAGTACATAGTTATCCTAATCATATGCTATTGCCCTTGTAGGCAGACGAATATACGGCCCACCCGACGGTGAGTGGTTATCGTCACTCATGGACGTCTGCAATACCAGGGGCATAGGCAAGCTTCTGTCTTGGCGATATCGATAATCGATGGAGACCTCACAATCGAAAGCACACATCGACAAAAGATAAACAGATACTCATGTTTTTGAGGTTGCTTCGAAACTATATACAATAATATAATGTTTGCAAATGCATTTTCATATTAAGCTGTTCAAATTTTAATTATCTATATATTAATACGTGAAGCAAAAACTTTGCATCCCTTTTTACGAAAATTGCGCGGACGGAGGACCCACACTTATAGAGAATATAGAGAAGGAATGCAGAATGCTAATATTCTTTTAAAATTGTGCATTTATAATACATTAAATCAATGAAAAAAACATTACACACACTACTATATATTTGACACACACATATATATACTCTTTGTTTGTTGCCAAACTTTTGTTATTGCATAAAGTCTGTGGTCAAATTGAGAATAGGTTAATATTGTTTATCTTTAATATTATTTGTCTATAGTGTAGTAGATTAAAGAAGTATAATAGTTTTTGACAACAGAACCTTAATAATGTTCATACTTATAATTTAAATTAATTATAGTCGAATTTCTACAATTGCGGAACCACTAGTATTGATTAAGCGAACATACACCAATACTTTTTTAGATAATGACCAAATCGCTACATTGTGGAACCAAAGAAAAACGAAATTTATCCAGTAGATTTTATGTCGTGTGCGCACAATGACAGACCTTGCCATTTTATTTATGCAAAAGACATATGCAATCGCAGAAGTCTTTATGAAAATGATTTTCACTACGCAAATAATAAACTATACAAATATAATTGCTTCTCCTGATTGATTCACTGACACATAAAACGAAGAACCTAAGTCGTTGGCCTATAAACTTGAATATCGATAACTGGTTTTCTTCAATATTCAATAATTATTTGAAAATATAAAAATATAAATTATTTCTAAAGTATAAATATAAATTCTATAATTATTTTTTACTGGTGGTAGGACCTCTTGTGAGTCCGCACGGGTAGGTACCACCACCCCGCCTATTTCTGCCGTGAAGCAGTAATGCGTTTCGGTTTAAAGGGTGGGGCAGCCGTTTTAACTATACCGAGACCTTAGAACTCATATCTCAAAATGGGTGGCGGCATTTACGTTGTAGATGTCTATGGGCTCTGGTAGCCACTTAATACCAGTTGAGCTGTGAGCTCGTTCATCCATATATGCAATAAAGACAAAAAAACATGAAAAATATATGACCTTAAAACTTATTAATTCAATGTGTAAATAAATGTCTTTATTTTAGTATTTAACGTACGACCTATTGTGTATGACATTATAGTTATACATATCACAATAAACGTATAAGAGGAAGCGGTCTTGATTTTGTAATTTAGTATTATCATACATCTAGCAGCTACAGCAAGTCACGTATAGTTTAACATGTTAATGTCAGTGATTATTGTCTTGGTTTTAATATTCGCGTTTCGCACTTATCTGCGGATGACTAAGCAAATGTGCGATCAGAATGTTTCTATGGTCGGCAGAGTTGTTATAGTGACGGGAGCCAATTCGGGAATTGGTTTTCAGACCGCTAAAGATTTAGCTCGGCGTGGCGCCAGAGTGATACTTGCCTGCAGGAGCGTCGATCGAGGCACCAAAGCCAGAGACGAGATCATATCCGTTACAAACAACAAAAACGTTGTGTTCAAACAAATCGATTTATCATCGTTAAGATCTGTGAGGGAGTTCGCGAAAGATATAATCGAGACGGAGAATGAGCTTCACGTATTGATCAACAACGCGGGTATGTTCAGCAATGAAAAGAGCTACACAGAAGACGGAATAGATATGGTGATGCAGGTCAACTATTTTGGGCCGTTCTTACTGACACGACTGCTTTTACCGCTGCTAAAAAAATCTCAACCGAGCCGAATCATCAACATCAGTTCAATATTTAATTTATTCGGTACAATTAACTTTAAGGATGATAACCACAAATCTTTCTATAACGGTATTCTCACGTATTGTAACAGCAAGCTGTGCAATTTGATTTTTACGATAGAATTGTCGGAAAGGCTGCGCGATACGGGCGTTGTCGTTAACGCTGTCCATCCCGGTATCATCTTGACTAATATAACGAATGGCTGTTCGAATTTACTGTACAGAGTTGGATTCGCTGTTCTCTGTTGGTTCAACAACTTAACAGACGAAGACGGTGCTCAAACTCCGCTCCATTTAGCGACTAGTGATATAGGAGGGAACGCTACAGGTAAATTCTTTATCAATTGTTCAGAATCTTCACTCGTGTCTCCAAAAACACGGAATGAAGTTCTCCGAAAGAAATTGTGGGAGCACTCGAATAAATTAATACGATTCGATGAAAGTTCTGTGCAATTATAAAATAGATATTGTTTATCAAATTCATGTTGACTAGCTTTTTTGTCGATCGGTCTTTTTTTTAAATATGTCGGAAATATTGTATCGGATCATTATTTCTTTAGTTAAAAAATCATGGAAAATTTTCCTCTATTCCTGATTTGATTTTGTTTATTAGTCGTAAAAAAAAGGTTAAATAAAAGACAATTAATTTGTAAACGAATTATTTATTATCTCGCTAATATTAAATCCTTATTTTTAATTGTTACATTTGTACATAAATTACATAATTAAATTTAATTTACGAAATCAAACAAAAAAATGTTTTACAACTGGATTTATGAATTATGGTCCATAACTTATAGATTATTAAAATGCGGATGACACTATTCTAATTTCCTATACAATAGCATTATGTTAGATCAATGAATAAATCTAAAATGGATTGCGTTTTTACAATACCTTATTAAATAGAAACAATAATAATACTGTGTCCGCTTAAAGCGTAAACATAATATTATATTATTGGCTTTGTGCTCATGAATTCCACTTATTACGTTTTACGTCACAATCTTCATCAGCATTTTCATATCCGTATTATCTATTCTGAACATTAACAACGTCAGAGTTTGAATTTTGTTTACTTAAATAATGCATTTTCAATTAACTAAATTTACATACGCGAGCCTTTTTTTATTACATTCGTACATATTCGCTTCGTTTTTTTGTTTACGAGAATGCGATTGACCTTTACTTTAACATTTATCAGATACAGGTTTCTTACAGACGTTACATTACTTTTTTTATTTTATTATTAATACCAGTGAATATCTTGTATCATTAATGGATTCGTGACTAGTTCGAACTGCATTTAAGTAGTTATTAATATTAACCGATAATCAAACCGACGTGTGATCTTAGATTCTTAAATTAAATGTTTCTTAAAAATAATATTTTTAAAAGTATATATCCGTTTGAAATTGACTTATAGCCTGTATGCATTGTAAACACAGATTTCAGCGAAGCATTGCAAGAGCAAATTCTCTCTGGTTGAGCCCGTGGGCTATTTTTCTTTTTTTATTGCCCGAGCAGGTAGACGAGCAT